TTCCTTTGTTGCCCTTCCGATCACCACCATCAGTCACAACATTATCATCTGGTTTCTTAGCACTGGAAAAGCTGGCCAGCATTGTGGCGTGTGGGCTTGTGGCTCCTGTGGTTACTGCTGTCTTCATTTTGTCTGAAGTTTTACTAGTGTTAAAATCCTCAAGGTAACTGCCATCTGTCATTTGTTCATCTTCTGCACTTGCCTGCAGGTCCTCTGCAATCTCCTGAAGCTGGAAGTCAGTGTCCTTTTCACCCCCAATCAACTTCAATTTCTTATGCACTGAAGATAAAGAAATGACTAGCTTAGAATTCATCCCCCAAGAATCCACCAAAACATCTTGCTACCATTTGCCCATGTCATTTGCTCAAAAGTGGGCATCTGGTACACTTCTACCAGACATTAGGAGAAATAATTTCTTATCACCAAATACTGATTGTGTGGTTAATCCTATCTATAACAAAATTCTTGATCGTGATTGGTTCTCCACATGCCTATTTATATTTAATTAGCAGCTACATTGAAATAGGTTATGAAGTGAGTGAACTCAATTACTGACATCCTGTCATAGAAAAACCAACAAAACGACAGACTTTGAGAACTACGGTCTTTTATCAATCTCGTTCCCAGAGCCCATGTGTCTTTTGGTTGGCGCTGACCAAAAGACATGTGGGCTCTGGGAACAAGATTGGTCTTTTATTTTCTTGATTCTTTTTCTTTGTTTTCGTTTCCTTCAGTTTCTTTACATTCACGGCTAAGGCCATCTGTCTTCCTTCTCATGCGCACTATACACAAATTTCCAAGGCAGTTCTTTCAGACATGACGTTGATTTTGTGTAGATGTCAGAGTCTTTTCCATTGCCATTGAATGAATCATCCTCGAATTTGACTCTATCTGAAAAATCAGCGATGGTTTCAGAAATCACCCGAAATCTTACCATGCATGACTCTTTATAATACCCTGGCTTTTATAGAGACCACCTCAGAATGAACATTGAGTCCTTTCACTAAGAACTTTGCATATTCTTTCATTTATGACAAAAAGAAACACTTGCTTCTGAGCATC